ACACCAGTTCTTGCATAATATTTGCACCAACGCTTTCTTGTTTAGCATAGTATGGGTTTCATCATAAACTAACATAAGCTCACTTGTCACAAGCTGTTTTCGCACAGTTGTAGGAACTCGTGACAAGGCGCAATAAGTCGGATCGAGCGTGTTACATCGTAGCGTCTCGGTGATCAGACGGGGTAAAGCGGATTCGGCCAACCTTAATCTGGCGAGCAAACGCCTCGAATGAATGTTCAACGCGAGAATATCTCGTGGGATTAGATTTTCCGAATATTTTTGTTAAACCTATGAATTCTTTCGATAAGATGAAACTAATGTGAGAATTACGCGATAGCAGCAGTTGAAATTTGAAGATTTAACTTGAGGATTTTACGTGATATGAACAATTCGTTTCTTTTTGTTTTTGTTTTTTTTTTTTTTGTATTCTTACGTTAGGTTTCTTTCGTATCGCATCTTATGACAAATGACATTTTTTTTTTTTTCTGAATGTTAGTCAAACTCCTCGGCACATCGTTCATATCATCTTTGTACTAGATTCGAAATTCAAAGACTTGCCAGTAGAGATTTCTTTATTAAAATCTTTTATCTGATCTCTTTGAGAAGTTAAATATTTTTCTCTTTCTACCTTTCTTTCTTCGAGTAAGTTGGATAAGTATTGTACTTTCTAGAGTTATTCAAAGCTTTCCCTCGGGTGTCTTTCAATGGTTCATTCTTTTTACAAATCCTTTCATCTGAAACTGCTCTTATAAGAAATAAGCTGATTGTAAGTTATTAATATTTCACGTTCATTAACCCGGTGTATTTAACGCTATTAACCGCAACAAAAAAAAAAAAAAAATAATAAAAGAAGACAAAAATTTAGCTCGACGGAGTCCTTCTTTAAGAAAAATTTCACGAAAAAGTTAATAAGATTAAATAAATAGCTAAATTGTATGAACATCTTTTACGGGTCTTTAACAAGCTACCATAGTTTTTATTTCGAATCGTTCGTTAGGATCGGAGATTGGTACGATCGATGTTCAAAGTTGGTGAAGTTGTTCTAGAATAAAACTCTGTCAGGTTTTTATTTTTCTTCTCCTCCGAAAAATCGTGCTACCTACTTTTAAGCTTCTATCAGGAGAGTAGCAAGTTAACAAAAAAAAAAAAAAAAAAAAAAAAAAAAAGCAAAAAGAAAATCGGTAGAATCGCGAATCCTCCTCGTACGCTTTTAGAAACGAGAAAGGAGTCGGGAGGAGGAAGGTTTGAATTTTGCATGAATTACAATTGCGACGATGCGATTCTTGAACCACCTCGAATCTTATTTTCCATATAGTAGCCTTAAAAAGAGATTTTATTCGTTCGATCGAAGAGAAGAATTCTGAACTTTTTAATATCGTTTCTTGAAGAATATTATTTTCGCTTGAACTCATTAAAAAAATTCAAGTACGAATGATAATATTCTTCCAATTAATTAATCCGCTATCATTAGTGAATACGAAGAGATATCATTATTATTATTATAGAAAGCAATTATTTACCGTTATTTACTTACCTACCAGAATGATATTGCGTCTATAAACCTGCTTTAAACTCTTCTCCTATATTAATAATTGTTATTAATATACGGATGAATTTTCAAACAAACGAATCTGACGATAATTACGCGCCGCTTTTAGATTTATTCGCTGATGTGATAATATTCGGTTTCACTTAGCGTAAGTATACCGATATTATTGATATTTTTATTATTATTATTATTATTATTGTTGTATAAATTATATTTCATAGGTAGACGTTCTTTTCGTTTTGTGTAAAAGTAAAATGCTTCGATCATTATAGATGAATGGATGGTTCATTATTTTTTTTTCTTTTTTTAACATTCTTCTAGGGTTAACCCAAACATGTTTGCTTTTTCTTTTTCTTCCTTTCCTTCTTCTCGCTCTTGCGCAAACGTTGAGATCTTTTTAACTTCACCAAATGTTGTTTACTCACGATCAACTTGAAGTTTCAACTATTTGTCGTGTTTATATGTGTCTTCTTTCGTCTCCTATTCTTTAACCGAGATCGAAATGTTATTTGTTATTTAAACAAAGAGGACTCCTTCAGGATACTGTATTCTTTTCTTCCCATGTAAAAGGTGTAGGATTTTATTTTAATTTCCTTTTTTTTTTCCAATTTATTAGTAGAATTGTAGATATGTATTCAGTACATTTAATATTTCATTCGTATCGTGTCTTGATTAGACATTTGAGAAGAACAGTAAAATTCCATTTAGGATATTACGATTTTTTTTACAAGAAAAGAAAGAAAAAAATATTTATATACACTATCAGCCTAAACATAAAAATAATTATGTAAATTTAGAAAAACGGGAGTAAAGTTATCAAGGTAGATTTTGATTTGTCAAAAAACTTATGAGAGTAATATGATTTACATTTAGTATTATCATTTATTTGGATCGAAAGATAAATATTTTTTCTTCTAATAAAATAAGCTTACTTACAAACCAAAAAAAAAAAAAAGAAAAAAAAACCTTTCTACTTAAAAAGAGCATTAGCCTGTCCTGTCCTAATTCCCAGAATCACTCTGTATAATCTAGAAAATGTTTTCTGATTAAACGCGTAACGTTAAGTTTAGTTAGTCGAGTTTGTTTTACTTCGTTCCCATTAGATACGGTATTTCCATAATAATTATTTATAATTTTCTTCTTCGTTTAATTTTGTCTCGAACTTTGGAAATATTTTAAGGATCTTGAAATTTACGAATATATTTTATTTACCATTTAAATTGTACTTTAAATAGCAAATGGGGTAATTACTTTTTTTCCATATGACGAAAAAGTAGATAAAATATTGCCATTTTCTTCATAACGATTAATCCACAGTTTGTTGATAAAATTCTGAAATAATTCTTAATCAATAATATATACATTTAATGTACCATTGTTCATGTATTTTCTACGATTAATGAAAAACAATTTAGATAATCGGTACACATTTAGTATCCCACTTGTAACATATACCTAGTTACCTACCAACATTAGAAATAGAATTTATTTGATAACTTAGAATCAATGAAAAGTTATAGGTAGTGTGTGGTACTTAAACTTGTCCATTAGCGGCTACTAGGGAAAGTACAGTGTACTGGGTAAAGTGTAATAGCGAGGCTTTTAACCAGTATAGTTGAGAGGAAACAGTCGTCCAGTTGTACTCTACGTGCTTCCGGCGATGTTAGAATTGAACGTTAAGCAAAATAGCCAAAGCAATCCGAATCATTTCAAATTCTCGGTTACCCCTGTAAACTTCCCGAATCCGTAATACAGTGTCTAGAATTTAAATCTTTGATAGAGAGAGACATCTTGATGCCTATCGATTCTAACTGTTAGTCCTAATAACATTGTCTTAATTATTATTATTATTTTTATTATCACAAGAAAACAACACTTGCAATATATTTATTTTTATTTGGTTTATTTAAAAATTGGTTGAATTATATATTATATATATATATATTTTGTTATTATTCATGATTAATGAACGTCATCGTATTTTCTCATCTCTAAGTCATATTCATTTTCATCGTGAATATTTTTTTTCCATTAATTTTTGTTGTATTTTTAATTACGATTTTGCTACTAATGTCTTTTGGTCGAAAGAATGGTTTATAATATTTCGAGCAGTTCTGCTACTTTACATTATAATTTAAACACGTACAATAACATTGTGTAAATGTACTTTTATCCATGATTAATTTAACTCTTTTGTATTAGAGCTTTAAATGCACAACTAACTTTCAGTAATCGGAGTCAGTCAAATTGTATTTCTGCACAATACCGCGCAGTTATTAATCTTATAATTATTATTATTTTTTTTTCTTATTGTTAAAAATAATGAAAAGAAAAATAATACAATATATATATATATATATATTTTATATAATTTAAAAATATTAAAATTTAACAAGTTTGATGATAAGAAAATGTAATAAAAATAATTGGTATAGCAATTAAACGAAATGAAAAAAAAAAAAAAAAGAAAAGAAACGATATCAAGAAAGATTTGAATAATTGCTGATAACGCGCTGTAAAACTTATTTATTTTTCATTACGTTTCAGAATATATTCTCGCTGATTGTTTTACTTTAGTAAAAAGTGAAAATTTTCATGAGCATTATTATTCCATGGTTGGTGATAAGCGAACATTGTGGTTTTGCGGAATATTACGCGATTGTTGATCAGTGATATCATGTGCAGATTATTCCGCTTACAAACGCAATAGGATTAGGGACCTAAATTCGACAATATTGAAAAATAAAAAATAATAATAACAAAAATGAAATTTAGTTAGTAAGTTTAGTTAGTAATACCATTTACAGCCTATATAATGGTATACCACGATTAGACAAAAATAATTAAATTCAATTAAAAATAATTAATACTAGAATAATTATTGTATCAACTTAATAAAACAAAGTATTGATTTTTTTTCCAATTTTGATAACAAAATCACAAAGAAATAATAATTAAATCGTTGAATTAATATTTACAAGGATATATGTAAAATTAATCGAAATATTCCATTTTCATTACAGTTTTCTCACGATATGATTAAAGTTACAAATTTTCAAAAAAAAAAAAAAAATAAAAAAATAAAAAAACGTCTTCGAAGAAAATATTCTTAGATTATTTTTTCTGATGAATATTCAAACGGAAGGTAATATCTTAATCTTTAAAATTGAAATGACATTGAAATATTATTCATCAAAAATTTGAAATGTTATTTTGATTTTCTGATTATATTGAAACGTTTTAATAATTCTAATTATAATCAAGATTATTGTTTATCTCTGATAACAAAATTCAATCGTACCCCTCCCCTCACTCATTTTTATGAAAAAAAAAAATAATAAAAGAAAATTCGAGGTAATTCATAAAATCAATGAAGTATTTTTGCTTTAACGTAAGAGATGCAAGCGAGAAGAGTTGGGAAAGATGAAAGGGGTTGCTGTCTGTTGAACAGAGAGGGAAGTTTGGTATGAAGGAGCTAAGCGAGCGATCGAGGCACGAATTCGTGCGGCTACGAACTCAAACGGTGCAGGACCAGGAACAGGGGGAGGTGGAGGTGGAGGAGGAGGAGGAGGTGGTGGTGGAAATACAGCACCGAGTGCCGTAGCGCGTGGGGTCGTCCTTTTTGTTGGCGACGGCATGGGCATGAGCACCCTCACAGCTGCGAGAATACTTTCGGGTCAACGTCATGGAAATACTGGGGAGGAAGCTCAGCTCGCATGGGACAGCTTCCCAGCCGTGGCCCTTTCTAGGGTAAGTCCTTTATGTTTGTTCCTTTAACAAAATCATTTTACTTAGCTTAATATACAAGCGATTTATTTATTTAACTTTAATTTTTATTTAAGAGGTGTGTATCATCATTCGAGATAAATATTCTTACTGAACAACTGAATATTATTGATAAAAATAATAATTGTATTTTTATTGTTATCTTTCGTAGATAGGAATTATCTTAATCGTATTAATCGGATCAATTTTTTTTCTAATTTAAAATTACATTTATTTAATAATAAAATATATATGGAATAAAATGTGTATAAATTTGAAAAATTATTTAATTAAATATAATTAACTAAATAACTAAATAATAATAAATACAATTATAATTAACTAATAAATCAAATTAGTTAATTTTGAAATAGGTTTTTATATGCATAACGAAATGTATAAAATCAAATTACATACAATTAATAATTTATGATATTTTTTTTTGAAACAAATTATAGAACAGTTGTTGAAAAATCATTTCTTCTTCGTAAAAAAAGGTTATTTGCAAATAAGCATAATTAACGTGAAATATTTATTATA